TTAGTTAAAGTAAATCATCACATCAGTTAAGTACAAAAATCCTATCCCTGAGCTACTCTGATTTATCTAGATTGAACTTTTAAATTTTATAATATACTATCCGAACTCATTAAGTTCGAACGAGGAATTCGTTGTCCGTAAAATTCAAATGGACTCCAAGATTGGTGTTCTTCAAGCAAACAACCATCTTGGCGTAAGATATTAAGGGTAAAATCCAATATCGTTTATAGTATAAAAGTACTAACTAGCCCTAGTTCTCCCTGAGTAGAGTCTACAAACGTAAAAACCATGTATACATAGCAAAAACAAATGTATTGTTTTAGCCAAATTTGAATATATCAGTTGAGTCATATAAGAACTGTAAATGTGCTGTCTTATGGTCGATTTGTAAACATTGACACTACAAAACTGATCCCAACACAATGGAATCAATGCATACTACTATGATACACAGAACCTTTGCAAAGGCAGGAAAAATTTACTAAGATGAAAAACATGTGAAATGCAAGAAATGAGGACTGGATATATAATGTAATATTAGTATACAACATTATTCCTATCTAACTTCTGGCAGAGTAATGGTCATTTCATATGATGAGTTGGCTGCATTTCCTCTAGTAGAATTTTTGGCATGAAATACATCTCTTTCTGTGAAAAAAAACCAAGTTGTTTAGCTTCAGGCAACAAGCATTCATTCCCCAATATAAAAACTACTATAGACATGGTTGGTGCATCTCCTGGACATTTTTGCACAAAAAGCAGACCTACATGAATTGATCATAGCACTTTGTTCAAGTATTGTGAATTAGCTGGACAAGTATCGACTAATTCGTGTGACCTTTGTTCTTTGTAAAGTAGTCATGCCTGTATAAATTGGATTTGGCTAAGAGGAACTTAATTTATAAAAATATTAATTATAGATATAAAACACACATCAATACATGTAAGACAAAAATGCTTACATGTCCAAGAAGGATGTGATGGTGATCACTATGCGAAAATCCCTAGCTTTTCTTTCCAACCACAATTTCTAGCACTAAAATACCAAAACTAAATACATCTGATTTTAACGAGAATAGGCTTTCCAATACATATTTTGGAGACATGTATCCGCTGCATGAAAGCGTAAATAAGAAATAATGTTATACATAATGGAAAAGCATTAGAATATATTATTGCATAAAGATTGATTCTTACTATGTTCCAACAACCCGACCAGTCTTAGCTCCAGTCTCATTCCCTCCAAAACTTCTAGCTAGGTCGAAATCTGATATCTTTGGATTCATGTGAGTATCTAGCGATATGTTGCTTGCTTTGAGGTCTCTATAGATAATTCTTATCCAAGAATCTTGTTGAAGATACATTATCCCCCTAGCAACACCATTAATGATATGGAAGCGCTTGGGCCAATCTAGTAACAT